TATAAATTTTTAAAAGAGAAGTAGTATTTTTTGTAAAGCTATTTTTTATGGAGATTTAAAGCTTCCGGCACCATATAAGGGGCCCCATTTGGAGGGGGACCAATTTAAAGAATGTTTTAAAAAGCTTCCGTTTATCTTGTTTAGTTTTTTTTGAGTTTCTCATCAAATGCTGAAATGGAGAACCTCATTGTTTTTTTTTGTGAATTTTTAGCCAATTTACTTGACTTAAACATAAAATCTGGCTTTCATCGTGCTTATTTTTTTTTTTTGATCCTGAATAAGTTTATTATTAGCAAATAATACAGAAAATTGTCCTAGTAATTTATTGCTATTAACAAATAAACTAATAATAATAATAAATTAAATTTTTTATTTGATTTCAGATTATTTATTTCGATTTGTTGATCTAAATTATTTAGAAGATTAAATAAATGCAAATAATAATATAATTCGATTTCATGCCTTCGATTATTATATCTTTCTGGCGTATTCGGCTTTAAATTTTGAATTTGCTAAGAGAAATTCAACTTCTTGATTTATTTTGTGTTTTCTTGGGCTAAAAAAAGATTCCAATAAATAAAAAGGATACAAAAATTTCAATTAAAAAAAAAATATATATATAATATAGATTTGCAATTACTTCATTTGTTTTAAGCTAAAAAGTGTGCGATTGTTGCAAATGGAACATTGAAACATTTGTCATGTCTTTAGAGTGCCAACTTCTAGCACTCCATCTATCTTTAAACTCGTATTCTTTTTTTTCTCTTAAATTCTCACTATTTATAAAATATTGACAAAAATGTATTTTGAGCCATTTATGCATAATGCATGTGATTATTTGATTATTTCTAGATATTATTTTTTTTCTTCTATATAGTATTTTATAGATGTTTCCAATTTAGTTGGATTAATGATCTGCATAATTTTTTTTGAGTCTCGCGAATTGCTTCAACTTCATCATATTTCGCAGAACTTATTTTAGATTTCATATTTCATATTTTCCTTTTATTGATAAATAGTTTCTACAAAATACGACGAATATAAAGTAGCTATCTATGTTGTATTCACAGACTCAATTCAACTAAATTGAAAACAGCGATAATAAAATATATACTTACTAATGGTCCTTTATGTGTATCATAAAACGTTAATCCATTTTTATTATTTAAATCGGATTCCCATTCACTTTTGGAGAATCCATTTTTTAACCACTCATGTGGTTCTGAAGTGTCTAAAATAGATGACATTAATGGATTATCATAATCTAGTTCGTCGATTTCTTCAGATTGGAAAGATCCAGTGATGTTTTTTTTTTTTCAGAGGTTGTTCATGATTTTGATGAAGCGTGTAGAGGGATTTTTCCACACACGTGATAATTAATGCATTTCTTATTGTTTGTCACTATGTGGTAAAATTTCGCAAGGAAAGCTTTTTGTTGGAGCGTAAAAATCGGGTTGTTATATAAATTTTTGAGTTATAAACTTTTTTACGTTATTTCTGATCGTGTTACATAATACTTGATGGTTCTATGTCAAAATTCCTGAAAGTCAAAATCCTGAAATTTAATTGTCGCGTCGCGTGATGTCGGGCTCCAGTATTAATCATAAGCAGAGTTTGAATACTAGAGCCCTGACATCACGTGACACGACTAGGGATGGGCAAAATTTTTATATATTCTTAAAATATTCTTACATATTCTTGCATATTGTTACATATTCTTAAAT